TCTTCCGCAATTCCGCGACCGAGCACAGCCAGTTCCAGCCGTGCTCAATGACTATATTAGGAAATGTCTGTAACTCCTCATCCACTAGTGATGTCACTTCTAGCCACCCCTCCACGGCTGGGTCTCCATTGCCCAGCAACTCAGACAATAATTATGTCCTCATCACCAGCCACAAACTCACCGGCCAGAATTACCTCCAATAGTCGCAGTCAGTCATGATGTTTGTATGCAGCAAAGGCAAAGATGACTACCTCACTGGTGATGCTCCAGCTCCGAGGACGACAGATCCGTCATACAAGACTTGGAAATCCGAGAATAATATGGTTATGGGCTGGCTTGTTAACTCGATGACACTTGATATTGGCAAAAATTTTCTTCTTTATGGCACGACTAAGGAAATATGGGATGCTGCCTGTGAGACCTATTCTAGTGCGAACAATACAAGCGAACTATTCGTTGTTGAGACCATTCTTCATGACTTTCGTCAAGGTGATCTCTCCGTCACCCAATACTTCAATACTCTTACTCTGTATTGGCAGCAACTAGATCTATTCGAGGCGTACCCTTGGAAGCGTCCCGAAGACTCTGTCATATTTCGCCAAATTATAGAAAAGAAACGCACCTTCAAATTTCTTCTCAGCCTCAAATCTGAGTTTGACCAGACTCGCTCACGGATTTTGAATTCGAAACCTCTTCCAACAATTCATGAAGCTTTCTCCGATATACGCCGCGAAGAGAGTCGCCAAAAGGTCATGTTAGGTGCTTCCTTGTACACTACAACCCTCGACGGGTCTGCACTTGCTGCTCATATTCCATCCACAGACAATCGCCAACGCCAGGGCCGCCCTTGTTATGACCACTGACGTTGTTCTGGCCATACTCGAGATACGTGTTGGCGGATTCATGGCAAACCCGCCAAGGGGAAACCCAAACGGGATCATCGGGCAGCTGCCACTAGCACCACCAAAGCCTCTCCAGGAACGAGCCCATTCAGTGAAGAACAGATTCATGCCCTCCAGAAGATGCTGCTCCCTCCAGAAGATGCTCGGTCAGTTGTCACCAGTCCAGCCTACTAGTGTGGCATCGGGTGCCACCGACCTTGTTACCTATCAAGGTATTTCCCCATCTGCTTTCATCTCGGATTCAACTTCTTCTCGCCTCTGGATTGTTGACTTAGGTGCCTCTGATCATATGATCGGGGATGTCTCCTTATTAATGGATTACCGGTCGTGTGATCCGACTCACTGTTCGGATTGCTAATGTTCGGATTGCTAGGATTGCTAATGGATCAGCCTCCAAAGTTGCTGGTCTTGGTTCTGTCCTCATCTCTCCAGATTTATTGCTCACTTTTGTGCTTCATCTTCCTACTTTGGATTGCAATCTGATCTCTATTAGTAAGCTCACTCATGATTGTCATTGTGTTGTTAAATTTTTTACATATGTTTGTGAATTTCAGGATTTGAAGTCGGGGAGGATGATTGGCAGTGTTGAGTTGCGCGGTGGTCTCTATCTCCTCAACAAACCCTCTGTCAGTCTAGTTTCACCCACCGGTTATATTTCAGTATCAAGTCTGTCTTGCTTAAATCCTGTTAGTACAACTGTATTCCATTCCAGCATTAATAATGATAGTGAAATCATGTTACTTCATTATCGTTTAGGTCATCCCAACTTTATGTACATAGGGAAACTGTTTCCTCATTTATTTATTAGTAAAAGTCCTACCTTTTTTAATTGCGAATTTTGTCAACTTATCAAACACACTCGTACTTCATTTCCTCGATTATCATACAAACCCACTCGTCCCTTTTCTCTGATCCATAGTGACGTTAGTGACGTCTCTGATCCATAGTGACGTCTGGGGTCCTCGTGAAAAAAATATTTTTGGGGCCCAATGGTTCGTGTCCTTTATTGATGACCACACACGGGTGACATGGATTTATCTTATGCGTGATAAATCCGAGGTAGGACCAATACTTCGTGCATTCTATCACATGATACTCACTCAATTTGACACAAAAATTCAGGCTCTCAAAACAGATAATGCAGATAATGCACGAGACACCTCCCTAGGAACTTTTCTTACTCAACATGGCATCCTTCATCT